GGCTGAAGGGTTGGAAGAGATGTTAGCCTACCAGACTCCCCATGTGGAAGCTGGGTGATTTCTGACATGTTTAGTTTGTGTGTAAGAACTTTTATTGTTTTTATATGTTGTCTCTGTGATGCTTTTATCCTAAGAATAAATGTACTCTGCTGAGAAAGAGCTGTGTGGCAGTCGGTAACTACTGGCTCATGCCAGTTATTGCCCGTAGAGAGAAAGCACAGCCCAGGCGGACTGGCTTGATGAGGATATCATGGTAGGTGGCAGGAGGCTGTGTAGCTTTAAAACCCCAGAGATGCGGGTCTCTCTCCAAGAAACATGACAACTGGGAGCCTGAAACTTTACATAGGAGGGGGGAATACAGGTGCAGTGACCCTGAAACTGTGACAATAACAAAAGGAGACCTAAGGAGTTAATTTTTGTCCCTAACATGGCCATTGCAGGGAGACGTATCTGCAAACACAGCACCTCATGCAATAACAAAATGTCTGCAATGCCTCAGCATATAATCTGCTGGGAACACTGGTGAAGTGCCTACTCCAAAACTCTAGGTTAAGGGGTGACTTAATCGCAGTCTATAAGTATCTGCATGGGGATTAAATACTTACTAATGGGCTCTTCAATCTAGCAGAGAAACGTGTAACGGACCAATGGCTGGAAGTTGAAGTTAGACAAATTCAGCCTGGAAATAAGGCGTAAAATGTTAATGATGAGAGGAATTAACCATTGGAACAACTTTCCAAGGATCATGGTGGATTCTCCAGCGTTGGCAATTTTAAAATCAAGATTGGATGTTTTTCTAAAATAGCTGCTCTAGGAATTATTTTGAAGAAGTTCTGTGGCCTGTGCTATACAGAAGGTCAGACGAGATTATCACAATGACTCCTTCTGCCCTTGGAATCTATGAACTGCGCCCCCCAGCTCATCTTGCCCCATGCAAAAAGCCAGCAAGGTGATGACTTATGGTCATCGTGCCCCTGCAGAAGTTGTTCTCTGCTCAGCCTTTGGTGCCCAGGAGCTGGGAGATGTCCAATCCACCTTCAAAGAAGCAGGGAGAATTCTGAAATCCATCATCCTGGGCTGGTACTGAGTATTGTGAATTAACAACAGAGTCATATGTGTCACTAAGGCAGAATTGTCTGCCCTTGAAGGACTCTGACACTGGACACCATGCCTTGTCTAGAGCCATATCCATCTTCTAAGGCTCCTACATCAGACTCACAGATCTTAGAAGCTGCAAGAGCTGCATGGAATGTGCCTGGAACCACCATATCTAGGGCTCTCCCTTCAGTATCTCAGATCCACAAGTCCTTTCCTCATCATAATCAGATGTCCGCATCAACAGCCCCTGTTATTGCACTGTCCTGGTCTCTCTTCATCAGCTCTCATTTATTTTAAAGACGCCTTATTCCAGAGAAAAGCCAATGTGCTGATAGTCAAAAGGGTGACTAGGAAGGCCCAGCTATCTGAGGGGCTTGGATAGTGCCTGGACCATGTGTTGGCCTCGGCACAGGGCTGAACTTCACTCACAGACAGCACATTGGCTTTTCTCTGGTCCTCTGGAACATCAACCTCAGAGGCTCAGAGAGCTCCACGGCCAATTCTTTTAATTCTCTTGGGGGGAAACTTTTCCAGTCCTGCAGATTTAAAATGTTTAACTTCAGCAGTTGCTGTTTAGCGTACTCCCTACTTACTATTGGAATAGAAAGTATTTAATTATCACTGTAAGGGTCGGCAACCTTTCAGAAGGGGTGTGCCAAGTCTTCATTTATTCACTCTCATTTAAGATTTCCCGTGCCAGTCATACATACAGTCTCCTTCTCTAAGTCTATAATATCTAACTAAACTACTGTTGTATGTAAAGTAAATAAGGTTTTTAAAATGTTTAAGAAGCTTCATTTAAAATTACATTAAAATGCAGAGCCCCCCGGACCGGTGCCCAGGACCCGGGCAGTGTGAGTGCCACTGAAAATCAGCTCGCGTGCCGCCTTCGGCACGCATGCCATAGGTTGCCTACTCCTGCTGTAAGCTATGAATACATCCTCCTGCTCCTTCCAAAACACAGAACGGAAATATTTATTGAAGACTTCTGCCTCTTCTGCATCATTACGGACAATTTTGCCATCCACACCTAGTAACAGAACAAAGCCATTTGCTAGAATTGTTTTTGCGCCTCCTATATTTAAAATTTCCTTCTTGTTGTCTTTAACTCTCCTGGCTGTTTCATTGTTGTCTTGCATTTTGACACAGAATTTTTGACCAATCCTATTGGTCATGTTAGAAAGTGATCGTTTTTTTCCTTTAGAAAGAGCGTATATGAGCTTCTAACTCAGTCTGAATTCCCTTCCAGGTAGTAACATACAGAGACTACTTGCCACTTCTGCTTGGAGATGAGACTGAGAAGGAAATACCATGCTACACGGGCTATGATGAGTCTGAGGATCCCACCGTGGCAAATGTATTCTCCTTGGCTTTTCGGTTTGGTCATAGTTCAATACAGCCTTTTGTGAACCGTTTAGATGAACATTTCCAACCTTTGGGTCCACATTCCCAGGTGCCTCTTCACCTCACATTCTGTGCTTCCTGGAGGGTTGTAATGGAAGGTAAGCCTGCAGTCCTGCTTTGCCAGCAAGGCAGAGATTCAACAATTTACTTAAGCTGACGAGTTCACTGGGACTTAAGCACATGCTTCAAGTTAACCACGTGCTTAAGTACATTCCTGAATCAGAACCTAAAGCCATTACAGCTGATCATTTGTTTCTATGCATCAGGACATGTTTTCAGTTAATAAATCATTTCCTCAATTCCAGCAATTTTCATCAAAGTGTAATTATCTGGGCAAATGGCTAGAATCATAGAATGTAGGACTGGAAGGATCTTGAGAGGTCGTCTAGTCCAGTCCCCTGCACTTTTGGCAGGATTAAGTATTATTTATTATTTGTATAGATTATTATTAGGGCTGTCAATTAATCGCAGTTGACTCAAGCATTTAACGCAAAACAAATTAGATTAAAAAATAATCGCAATTAATTGCAGTTTTAATCACACTGCCATACAATTATAGAATACCAATTTAAATTTATTATAAATACATTTGACGTTTCTCTATATTTTCAGATATATTGATTTCAATTACCACACAGAATACAAAGTGTACAGTGCTCACTTTACATTATTATTTTTGATTACAAATATTTGCACTGTAAAAAAGATAAAAGAAATAGTGTTTTTCAATTCACCTCATAAAAGTACTGTAGTGCAATCTCTCTATTGTGAAAGTGCAACTTACAAATGTAGAATTATTATTTTTTAGGGCTGTCAATTAATCGCAGTTAATGCAAGTGATTAACGTAAAATAAATTAACACATTATTTTTAATGAGTGTTAATCACACACTTCGCTTTTGACCCTCTTCACTTGCTGTACTTCATCACTTGGCCAACATTGGCACAGTTCTACTGTGTTCTCTTGATCTGGAGTGATTAAATATCAGAAAAAATTAATGGTGCAAAGCAACAAAAGTTCAGGTTTTTGAATGGGTCTTTATTTTTAAAAAGCTTCTGGGTGGTTCTCTGGATAAAAAGACGTTCATCTGTAGTTATTGCAAGGCTGAGTTCCAATACCATTGACGTATCAGAGGGGTAGCCGTGTTAGTCTGGATCTGTAAAAGCAGCAAAGAGTCCTGTGGCACCTTATAGACTAACAGACATATTGGAGCATGAGCTTTCATGGGTGAATACCCACTTCGTCGGATACATGTCCGTTGAAGTACTTCAAGTCTTCAGTACCACGTGCACACTAAACATGCTTTCACCTCAAGTTCTTGTGCTATGGATAACCTACTGACAGCAAATGAATCCCGCCAGCCAGAACAGAGTATGCTTAAAGAGTTTCAGGATCATGACAAGCCCCTGGATCAAACAAAGTACAACAGCTTAACCAATGCTATTGCAAAGTGGATATCTATGGACTGCAGACCGCTCAACATTGTAAACGACAGAAGGCTAAAAGATGCTATTCAAATTGCATCTTCCAATCAGTCATACACCTTGCCCTCCTGAAGAACTACTGCATCACAAATACATGACCTCTATCACAACGAGAAGACTACAAAGTTGGAGCTTCTGAAAAATGCGCTAACTGTTGCTTTGACTGGTGATCTCTGGACATCCCTGTGCAATCACAGCTAGCTTGGAGTCACAGCACACCTGATTATTGCTGCATGGACACTGCAGTCGTTCGCTTTAACAGGAACACATACTGAAGAGAGACATTATGCTGAAGCATATGCAGAGCACTTCTTGGATGTTGCGAAAAAATGAAATATTCAAGAAAATATTACAACAGTTTTGTACTAACAATGCACGTAATGTGATAGCAGCAGACAGTCATTTGCCTTTTGAACATATGACATGCATCACTCATGGTCTGTAGCAATCGATTACAGTAGCACTCAGTGATGGCGGTTTTGAAAACGTGCTGGCAAAATGTAGAAAACTTGTGGGCCATTTCAAACGCAGTCCAGCTAACAGTGCAGAGCTAGGAATACAACAAGCTGCAAATGGACAGAAACAAGAACCTCTTGTACAAGATATTTCAACCAGATGGAACTCCACATTGGGTATGATTCAGTGTGTGTGTAACCCACGCACCTTCTGGGTGTAGTGTTCTGTCCCATCTAGTGGCACCGAGACCACATAGAGAGAGACATAAAACGAGTCTGTTCTACAGCCTTGGCTAATAGCCAGGTGGCTTTTAGCTCATGCCTTAGAGGCTCATGTACTACGCTCCAGAGGTCCCTAGTTCAATCCTGCCCACCGACGACCGGGGTCTGTCGGCGTTACAAGTGGGGGCTCATCCGGGATTTCAACTGGGAAGACTCTGAAGTTCGGGATGCGCTTCCTCAGCTAGGGGAAGTATGTAACCCACACACCTCCTGGGTGTGGTGTTCTGTCCCATCTAGTGGCACCAAGACCACTTAGAGAGAGAGAGATAAAATGGGTCTGCTCTACAGCCTTAGCTAACAGCCAGTTGGCTTTTAGCTCATGTGGTAGAGGCTCATGTACTAAGTCCCTAGTTCGATCCTGCCCGCTGACAACCGGGGTCCGTCGGCGTTACATCAGCTTTGAAATAAAGTCACTATCACAGCCACATTAGCTCTTCAAAAGCACAACCTATCAGTGCCGACAGGTAAGGATTTCAAACACTGCAAAAGCTAGAAACACAACTTGAGCCCTGCTGGTTTGTGACTGAGCTCCTTGTGGGAGAATTGTATGTCTCCTGCTCTGTGGTTTTACTCACATTCTGCTATATATTTTGTGTTATGGCACTCTCGGATGACAACCCAGCATATGTTGTTCGGTTTAAGAACACTTTCACTGCAGATTTGACAAAGCGCAAAGACGGTACCAATATGAGATTTCTAAAGATAGTTACAGCACTCGACCCAAGGTTTAAGAATCTGAAGTGCCTTCCAAAATCTGAGAGGGACGAAGTGTGGAATATGCGCTCAGAAGTCTTAAAAGAGCAACACTTCAATGTGGAGATTACAGAACCTGAACCGCCAAAAGAGAAAACAAACCTTCTAACATGCATCGGTCTGCATTGCTTCGGATCATTATCAAACAGAACCCGTCATCAGCTTGGAAGCATGTCCTCTGGAATGGCGGTCAAAGCATGAAGGGGCATACGAATGTTTAGCATATCTGGCATGTAAATACCTTGCAACACTGGATACAACTGTGTCATGCGAATGCCTGTTCTCACTTTCAGGTGACATTGTAAGTAAAAGTTATCTCCCATAAATGTTAACGAACTTGTTTGTCTTAGTGATTGGCTGAACACGAAGTAGGACTGAGTGGATTTGTAG